AATATCCAGTTCTAAATTATTTGTAATTTACGCAAAATTCTCCGCATATGACAAATGTGTGAACAGTAGCTTTTAAGGGGAAGTCTGAGCCGGATCTGTTCTTTTCTCTGGCTAAAGAGAAAAATATTGTCATACTTTTAGAAATAAACATTGTTAAATCATTTCCTTCCCTGAGAAGCTCAAGCTAACACAGGGCCAACTATCTCTTCATGGTTCCTGAAACTGTTACTCTTGTCACTGCTTTTTCTCAGCTAGGTATCTTCAGACTTAACAATTTCTTTTTTGACTATTTGTTCCTACTTCTCCTGTAAATTTTTTTTTCCTTTTTTAAAAAATATTATCCATTTGATACTGCTGGGTTTTCCTATCCCTTCTGTTTTACCACAGGGTCCAGGAATGTCAGTGAAGTGGGACGCTGTAGCAGAATGGACTGGGTTCTGAAGTACAAAACAAGAAATACTTTCTGCCCCTTCTAATTGTCGGTATTCAGCAAGACAGACAATTTGCCAGCCTGGTTGGCAGTTGTGTGGAAGTATTCGCGACCTAACTTTATCTTTGTGAGACATTTAAGGCAGGATTCCAAAGTCTATAACAGTTCTTACAAATGTTTATATGAGAAACCTCAGAAATTTGCAGAATAGCATGAAAAGGTATGAAAATACTTGTCTGAAAAATAGAATCTTGCTGTCATTGACTGAGCAGAGTTGGAATTTACTACTTCTATTGTACTTTGTCAAGGGTGTTGAAAATGGAGATGAGCAGCCTCTGTTCTGGCAGAGAAGAGGGAGCCAGTGGAACGATTGGAGAGGCAGAGACAGTTCACAGAATCACAGAATTGCAAGGGTTGGAAGGGACCTCGGGAGATCATCTAGTCCAACCCCCCGGCTAAAGCGAGGAGCTTTAAAGGAGGATTCTGGTTGGATTTGAGTGGAGCTAGACAAAGTTTGTCATGACTAATGGAAGGATACATCAGTGAGGAAAGCCCGGATGCAATTGTTTACAGTCTACACACACACTTACAATTTTATGCAAAAAGACTGCTGTATTTAAACATAATCTGAATGTATGGGAGATGTTACAGCAGGAAGCTGTCATTAGCCTCACTGACCAAGAAATAGATTGATGAAGAATAACCTGTGTCTGCTGGATACATGTGAGCAGATGCTGAAGAGAGAGGCAGATGCTTTTTGATGAAAGGTCATAAGCTTGTCAGCAGAGAAATAAGAGTTGAAATCAAGTACTTACATCCACAATTGCAGAATTAAGGTAGTAAAACAGGAAGAGATGAGCAGAATATTGGTCATAATTCTGTAGGCAAATACTGGCAAAACTTCCTCCTGCCCCCAATATGCTCATACTATAGGAGACCGTGAGGGAAGATGGGGTCTGCAAGACATTTGGAGAGGTCACATTAGGAGAGTGTGCAGGCACATCTAAATATCTGTAACAAGAAAAGAAGGCTTAGAGAGAGGGGATATTGTACTTCAGTGCCATTTTGTGTTTTATACTACAGTGTTGATTCTGTCTTGAAAGAAATGAGATCCTATGCAGAATCCCCATCCTTTAGTTCCCTCCCCACCTTGTAATTGCCAATATGTAACCATGTATTTTCCTCTACTGTTACTGCCCTTATCTCTTCCTGCTGTTGTGTCAGTTCTGTCAGGGAGGAAGAAGAATGCACCCCCACCATAGATAACTTCGTTTTTTCTTTTTTTTCCCTCTCTTCACTTCCCACCTCACTTACTGAACGTAGTTATAACCTCTAACGCTGTTTCTGTTGCCATCCTCTGTTGGCAGCTTTTCTTTGTTTAATTTTTCTTTTTTTAATTATTACTATGGTGCTATGAACATGATTATACTTGCAGTTCTCAGTAGGAAGGCTGTTAGACTGAACATGTTCATATGTATTATGTAAAAATTGTAGGTTATGAGATACAGGGCTTGAGTTAACATTGCTGGGTGGATGAAGGATGTTCATGCTTGTGCACCGTGCCCCTCTTCTTCCCCTTATCTTTACATGCCTAGCACGGAATCTGGAGAGACAGTCAGGACCTCTCATTGCTGTTGGCTGTGAAAGATTCTTATATCAATGAAGATTTCAAGGCCAACAGTCCTAACACAAACCTAACAATCTGTATACTAAAGTTCTTGTGAATGGAGAAATAGCCTTCATCGTACACAGTGAGTGTGGATTGAACTTTCAGCACCCGGGTTAATGATCAACTTGCGGGTTTGACTGAATATTGAGAAAATAAGGAGATGTAACTTGACAGAGAGAAACTAGAAAGGACCTTGAATCATGCAGTAGTTGGCCTATAATTGTGTGTGACTTTTCAAGTGGCTGCTCTCCTGATCCCCTCTGCATCTGGGTACGTTGATCCCCTCAACGTACCCAGAATCTGGTGTACGTTTCTGCTCCCTATGGCTCAGAACGGGTATCACAGAACCAGAGAAGGTTTGGAAGCAGTTGACAAGGAACAACCAAGTAGATGAAGATTCTTCAGCATGGAAAAGATATGGCTGAAGGGATACGATAGAAGTCTAAAAAATCATGTGTGCAATGTGGGGAAAAAAGAACATGAAATAGATGTTTGGTCTGTTCCAGTGCAAAAACTAGAGATACGAAAGGAAAGTAGCGGTCCAGAGTGAACAGAAGCTGGCGATTTCTCATGTGAAGTGCCACTAAACTGTAGAATTGCTTG